GTGGAGGACCCCCCCGAGGTGGCTCCCACCCGGGAGGGTCCTCCACTCACGGGGCCTCCGAACATCGAGGCCCCCCCTTTCGACCCCTCCACGTCCCTCGAGGTTCTCGAGGGGATGGTGGAGCGGGTCCTCGGGAGGCTCTTACCTCCACTTTTAGAGGCGTTTTTCAAGCCTCCCGCCTCTCAGCCGCTGTATAGTGCGGTGGTGGGGCGGAAGGCGGGAAAAACCGCGGCAACGAAAGCGCCGCCACCAAGGGACGCTTCTTCTTCCTCGTTTCCCCCTACTCAAGGGGCGAAGGGGAAGAAGAAGAAGAAAAAGAAGGGGTCCAGGACCCCGCTGGGGGACAGCGCCCTCCTGCGGATAAGCAGAGGAGCGCTGTCAAAGGTAAGCCCCGGCCACCGAGTAGGAAGAAGGCCCCCGCTGGGGTGGTCAGGGAGCCCAAGACGGCAGCGGTGCTGCTGTCTATTGCACCGGGATCCTCGGTCACCCAGAGGGATGTCCTCCGTATGACGAGGGGTCTTCTGACCGATGTGGCTGGCTCCTCGTCGGTCAAAATGAAGAGGGCGCAGGCTGGTGGCACTCTTCTCCAGTTTCCTGGAGAGGAGGGCTACCGGATTGCGAATGAGGTGGCCTCAAAAATAAGGATCGCCACAGAGGGGGCTCCCGGTGTCCGGGTCAGCCGGCCCATGAAGCGCGTAGAGCTACGCCTTCGTGAGCTGGACGACTCGGTCACGAAGGAGGAGGTGGTTGGGGCCGTCGCGGAGATGACGGGCTGCCGCGCTGAGGACCTGGTTGTTGGGGAGATCGTAAGACTCCCCAGCAGGCTGGGCTCGGCGTGGCTACGTTGTCCCGTGGCGGTCTCCAACAGGCTATTGGAGGAGGGTATGCCCCGCATCGGGTGGACCAAGCCTACGGTTACGCCGTTGCCTGCCCGCCGGATGCGGTGCTACTGATGCCTCGAGGTGGGGCATGGAGTTGCCCTTTGTAAGGGAGTGGACAGGAGCGGTTGCTGCCACAGGTGCGGCGACTGCTCCCATTTCACGAAGGCGTGCGAGGCGGTGAGGCCCAATTGTCCGCTCTGTTCGGACTTGGGCCTCCCCGCCTTGCACTCCCTTGGGGGGGGGGGTCGGCCGAGACTTGCGTCTCAAGCGCGAGGGCCGCCCAGCGGTGGTTAACTAGGCTCAACGCCGCAGCGGCCAAGGCCCGAAAGGCCAAGGCAGCTGCACCACCGGAGCCTCCAGAGGAGACCGGTGAGGGGAGTAAGGGGGGCCCCTGTGGGGCGGAACCCCCCGAAACCCTCACCCCAGCAGGGCCTGCGGAGGGGGGAGAGGGGACCTTAAGGGCTCCGTCTCCTACCCCTTCGAAAAAGGCCCCAACGAAGCCGGGGGGGGGGTCGCCTGACTAGGTCCTCGGTAAAGAGGATCATGTCGGAGCGCTCTCCCCCCGCCCAGCGAGGCCAGGAGTTGACCGAGGAGCCCAATGCGGAGTCTCCATCCGCGCCCCAGGCACCGCCGAAGAAGAAGCGGGACCGGAAGAGGCGATTCTTAACACGATAAGAATCGCCTCTTCCGCTCCCCCTAGGGAGAAGATCGGGTGACGGTCACGGCAGGGGGCCTTAAATGGCCCGAGCTGCCCGGTCTCGGGGTAATGCAATAAGCGAATCCCCGGGACTGGGCGTTGCAGCACGGGTGGCTGCACGACGGGGTTTTTAGTGGGTATACCCGGCACTGCACTCCTTGGAGCGGGGCTAGCCCTCTCCAAGGGCCGGGGAGTCCCACACTACCCCCCTTGGTGTGCCGTACGCACCTTGGGGGAGTGTGCGTAATGCATTTTCTCCGTCGTTAAAAAAAAAAAAAAAAAAGTCTCCGATGCGAACCACCTTGACGTGGTGGAGAGGCTTAGCCGCCCCCCGGTCTCCGGGCCCACTTCGACACCTCGCTGTCGGGGGGGGCCCGGTGGGTCCTTCAGGCCCCCACTTCGACACTTTCGTGTCGGGGGGGCCCGGGGACCGGGGGACGATGACTAAAAGCTTGCATTGCACTTCCCTCCCCGGAAGGGGAGGAAGGGGAGGTTGCGCTCCCTCCGGGCACTCTGGCCTGATGCGCATAGGGGTAGGCGGCCCTGATTGCAATCGCCCGGGTTGAGGATCCCGTGAAGGGTGGGAAAACACCCCAATCCTCAACCTTCTCCTTAGTTCTTGCTCCTATCCCGAGGCATCCTTTCTTAATTTTTCTTACCTATCCTTACCTTACCTCCTTATCCTCCCAATGCTCCTATACTCCTAACTCCTGGTTGTATGCGTGTGGATGGATGAGTGTGAGTGTGACGGGTGCCGGACCCCTTAGGACGGCTAAGAGAGGTGATACTCTGACAAAAACACACAAAACTCTATGGAACATGGACACAAAAGAAGATAAAACGTACCAGCCACAGGAGGATCGGATACTCCAGGGCTCGGCGCATGGAACCAATATTGTCCCAGTTAGTCCTGCGTCGTCATCGGACAATGGGCAGGAAAGACCATCACCATCAAAGAGGATCCCGGATGGAATGTGGACCAATAGTACGGCATCTACCGCCACAGAAAATTTGCCTGGTATGGAGATATCCAACGCGGTAGTTGGTGTCTCGGAAATCACGGCTGTGATAGGAAGTATGGAGGATAACTTACCATCCGAAAATGTTATCCAAATAGCAGGTGACAGGGATATAGAAACGGCATCCACTATATCCGAAAGCACCATAATGGAATGTGATGAGCTTCGTGCATCAAATAGAAAGATATCTCGCTCTGCGGAAAGGCAGTCATCCGAAGACAGCGAGGATGAACTCTTAAAAAGAGTTAAAGCCTCCAGACGACAGAGAATTCTTAAAGATGCGGGAAAACCCTTGCAAAATAAAGAGCAGAGTAGATCGAATCCAGATCTACTATCACGTCCATCTGAGGAAGATCCTAGAATTGTTGAAATGAAAAAAGGATATATTTCCAAACAAAAGAGATTAGAAATAGAGGAGGCTAAGGAAGAGATAGCTGATAAGAAGAGAGAAGAAGCTAGAAGAAGGAAGGAAGAGAAAGCCAGATTAGAAGAGGAAGAAAGAAAAAAGGAAGAAAGAGAGAAAGCTAAGAATAAAATCATGGCTAAGATCAGCACTAAATCTGCAGAGGAAGGAGATTTCATAAAAAATATGACAGCCTCCGATCTGGCTGCAATGGCTTTAGAATACTTGGATCACGTAGAAATTATTCATACCAAATGTCGCACGATGCAGGGAGCGCTCAGTGGCGAGCTTAAAAAGAGGAAATTGAGCTTGGATAACATGGTAAGGACCCTGCAAGCCAAAGCGGAGGAGAACGGAGACCCTATGTTCCTTCGTGCGAAGATAGACGAGTTACTCAAAAAGAATAGAGAGGAAGACGAAAAGAGAAAAAGAGAGATAAGTGAACTCAAAGAAACAGTAACTGGTCTAACTAAGAAGAATAAAGATGTGAGGAGAGAATTAAAACTAATTAGAGAAAGCCTGGAAAGGAAAGAAAGGGCTGAAAAAGTTAAAAAGGAAGGAAAAGTATACTTACCTACTTATCACGAAAAGGAAGAACATCTGACGATGTCCCACGATGTCCCACGAGGTCCCATGATGTCCCACGATGTCCTGCGATGTCCCACGATGTCCCAGGATGCTTGGCGGTGTCCCTCGATAGTGTCGCAGGATGATGGTCCGGTTATGAGGCCGCCGATCAAGGGAAGGTCCACTCCTATTCCGAATTCGCACCTGCAACAAACAAGAGTAATAACTAGCAAGAATAGGAACAAGGATAATGCACAGGAGAAAAGGACAAAACCTGAGATTAAAATCATCAGTAACATACAGGTTAAGCCGCCCAGAGGAAAGGAAAAGGAAATGACTATACAGGAAGAGGAAACAACTAATATGGAGTGGGAAGAGAATGGATACGACTGGAATGAAGAAGTGGAAAGAGAGATTGGTATGTCAGTGGAGGGAAATATCCAAGTAGGAGAGGACATACAGAAAAAAGGGAACATCCAAGATCAAAGTAATACGAAGGAAGAATCTTCTAATAAATTACAGGAAGGAAAACAGGAGGAAACCTGGGCAACTGTAACCAAGAAAGAAAAAAGACAGGATAATAAAAAGAAGAAGGATAAAGAAGCGGCCCTGATTAGTAAACAAATCAATAAGCAGAACGCACCTAAAGAGGTGAAAAGATAGCCACCTAAAACGGCCGCAGTTAGTATTAAAGGCGATGAAAAGAAAGGCTTCTCGTATGCTGAAGTCCTAAGGAAAGCGAGATCACACATAAAGATGGAAGATCTACAAATTGAAGCCTCGAAAATCCGGAAGGGACTTAACGGTGCCACCCTGATAGAAATATCGGGTCCCGAATGCAATGTCAAGGCACGGAAACTCGCAGACAAACTTCAGGAAGTTCTTCGAGAGGACAATGCGGCTATAACCACTCCCACTATTAAAGGAGAATTAAGGCTGGTGGGACTGGACGATTCAATTAGTAAGGAAGAGATCAAGTGGGCACTTGAGGAAGAGGGAGGATGTGATAAACAGGATATAAGGATAGGTGAAATCAAAAGGACTAGGAGAGGAATGGGAGTGGCGTGGGCGCAATGCCCTCTCAAAGCTGCTGTTGATATAGCTAAAAAGAAGAAAATTAAAATAGGATGGACCATTGTAGGGTCCACGCTTCTCAAAGCAAGACCCCTACAATGCTTCCGATGTTGGCATCAAGGCCACGTTAAAGATAATTGTCACTCCCAAATTGACAGAAGTAAATGCTGTTTCCAATGTGGAAAAGAGGGACACGGCGTCGCTACGTGTAAGAACGCAATCAAGTGCGCGGTCTGCAATAGCCTAGGACGCGAAAGTACTCACAGAATAGGCTCGAGTAAATGTGAAGGGATCAAAATGAGACCCTCATTAAATGTAGAACCGGTGCGGAGGACCGACACCGATGAAATGGAATTATAATGGTGCGTATTTTACAGTGCAACATTAATCATTGCAGGATTGCACAGGATCTTCTTGCGCAATACGTATTGGAGAATAAAATTGGTGTTGCAGTTATTTCAGAGCCGTATAGAGTGGGCTTTACACTTGATTGGATAAGTAACACCAATAATAATGTAGCGATACACTGGAATCCTAATTACATCCGGAGTTCCGGTGTTAAAAAATATGAAGGGGAGTATATACTTGCTGTCCAGTGGCAGGAGTTCTGCATTATAGCATGTTATTTTCCTCCCAACTGTAATAACGACGACTATAGTGATTTCCTAGAGGAACTAGACCTTGCCCTAGAAGAAGTGGACATCACTGCGAACATAGTTTGCGGAGATTTTAATTCAAAATCCAGAACATGGGGTGCGAGATCGACAGACATCAGAGGTGAACGCTTAGAAAGATGGATGTCTAGCAAAGACTTTCGTCTCGTCAATGAAGGATCATCACTGACTTGCGTGCGACCACAGGGCAGTTCTATTGTCGATCTTACCTGGGCGACGGCTACTGCATCACGGAACATCGATAACTGGAAAATCCTCGAGGAAGAGACATACTCGGATCATAAATATATTCACTTCACGTTTAATGAAAAGAAAGTATGTACTAGCCGTAAGGTTGCAACCAGATGGAAATCATCCAAAATGGATGTAGATAAATTTCAAGAATGCATAGAGTGGAGTTGCATTAATGAAGATAAGGATCGATATAATGATCCAAGTACGGCAGCATTATGGCTACAAACTTCGCTGATAGAGGCATGTGACTATTCTATGCCTAAGGCTAAAAGAGTCAATAGGAAAAGTACCTATTGGTGGAACAGCACAATAGCCGAAAAAAGAAATACTTGCAAAAAAGCGAAGAGGAAATTGCAGAGAGAAAGGAGAAGAAGCAATAACGACGCTGACACGATAGCCAGAGCGGAAGAAGAGTTTAAAGCCGCGAGGAAAGAGTTGAGGAAAGAAATTAACAAGGTTAAATAAGGCTACATAAGGCTTGGAAAGAGCTTCTCGAGGCCATTGATGAGGATCCGTGGGGTTTGCCGTACAAGATCGTTCTTGGCAAATTTCGTAAATCGAAGCCCGGTATCACAGAAATCCTGGCACCAGATATACTAATGACGACAATCAAGAAGTTGTTTCCAACAGATAATAATTGGAACGAGGATCGTGAGACTTTTAACGATGAAGACATCACCTGGAACGATGACTTTGACATCGATGTAACAGAAACTGACAGAGTTATTTTCAAAAGTAAAAAGAAGACTACTAATAAAGCGCCAGGAAAAGATGGCATCAAGTTTAAGTACATTAGATGTATACCAGAGGTCTTCTTGAAAATGATCGCCGACTGCTTTACCGTATGTATTCGTAATGGGAAATTTCCCATCTGCTGGAAAGAAGCGATGCTAGCCCTTATCCCTAAGGGCGAATTAAACATGACAAATTTGAAAGTTAGACCTATATGTCTACTTCCTGAGCTCGGTAAAATCCTGGAGCGAATTTTAGTCACCAGAATAGAACGGTGGATGGATGAGCACCCCGAAGCGAGACTTACTGAGAATCAGTACGGCTTCCGACCTGGTAAATCAACTTACGACGCGCTGTATAAAGTCAGAGGAATAATACTCTCAGAGACTCGTGATGGTAAAGTTGTGGCAGGCGTGAGTCTAGATATCGTAAACGCGTTTAATTCGATAAGGTGGAAACACATATTGGATGCACTTCGTGATAAGGGCTTTCCTGTGTACTTAAGAAGGCTTATTAGTGACTATCTCTCGGAAAGATCGATCGAGTTCCTGGACTGTAACGGGATCACTCACAAGCACGAAGTCACGTCCGGTGTTCCACAGGGATCTGTCTTAGGACCGATCCTGTGGAACATCGGATACGATTGGGCTCTGAGAACGCCCACAGAAGATGGATGTCACATTATAGGATATGCGGACGACACACTTATACTGGTTAGTGATAACAGCTATAGGGCAGTGGTTAAAAAACTGCCGACGATAATAAAAGACGACACGATAGTTCTGGCGGAGGGGGATGACTGGGAAGAGGCCGCCGCCACCGCATCGCTAGCGGTGGCATGCGTAGTAAGAGCCATCAGGGCTCTTGGCCTCCGGGTGGCGCCGCAAAAATCGGAGGCCATCGTCTGGCACGATGGCTCCCGAGGGCGACCACCCCCTATGGTGATCACGGTGGAGGACACCACAGTGAGGGTCGGGTCTTCGTTAAAGTACTTGGGCCTGATCCTAGACAGCCGCTGGTGCTTCGAGGAGCATTTCTCCCGTCTGGTCCCCAGACTGACCCAAACGGCTATGGCCCTGGGTCGTCTCTTGCCCAATCTGGGGGGACCGGACGGGAGGGTGAGGCGCCTCTACGCCTGGACGGTCCACGCCATGGCTCTATATGGGGCTCCGGTGTGGGCCGGACGGCTGGGGGACAGCGCCAAGCTGCGCGACATGTTGCATCGCGTGCAGCGGGTGCTGGCCCTCAGGGCCGTTCGGGCGTATAGAACGGTCGCGTTTGAGGCGGCCCTGGCCCTGGCCGGGATTCCTCCCGCGGAGCTCCTCGCATCTGCACTCGCCGGGCAGTACTGGCGAATGCGGGAGCTCCGCGAGAGGGAGGGAGTTCTTACTCTCCCGGCTAGGGCCAGGGGAATGGTGAGGCGCCGGTCCGGCGGACGCTCGCCCTGGAGTGGCAGACGCGACTCCAGGAGTACCAGCAGACGGCTGGCGCGAGAGTCATCGGCGCCCTGGCGCCTTGTCTGTCAGTTTGGACGGACAGGCGCTGGGGTGGGCTGTCGTACCACACGACGCAGGTGCTTACCGGGCACGGGTGCTTCGGTTCGTACCTGTGTCGCATAGGAAAAGAGGCTACGCGGCGGTGCCATCACTGCCCCGTCGAGGAGGACACGGCGCAGCACACACTGGAGGACTATCCAGCGTGGGACGTGCTGCGCCGTGACCTAAGGGGGGCCTTAGGTCGAGAGGACCTCTCGCTCTCGAGCTTGGTCAAAGCCATGCTCGAGAGCGAGGGGAACTAGAGGGCGGTCACCACCTTCTGTGAAGCCGTCCTCCGTATTAAGGAGGAGGCGGAGCGAGAGAGGCGCGCTGAGGGGCCGTATCGCGGACGATTAAGGGCACCTTGGGGAACACGCCCGCCCCCACCGAGCCGACGGAGGGGTGAGGCCGGGAGAGGTCGGGGCAGCCGCTTGGGGGAAGAACCGAGCGGTGAGCCGGGGCCGCGTTTGGTAAGGGTCGCGAGGCGACGAGTGGGACGCGGACCTCGCGCAAGGACAAGCGGCCAGCTCCCTCCTCGTGAGGGAATTGGCTGATTGGATCGGGGGGAGGGGCTGGCTAGTTAGCCTCCCCCTTCCCCGGGATGGTAGAGGCCCTGTCTCTGGCGCGGTTATGGGTCAGAGGCGGGGTCAGGCGGAGGTGTAGGCCGACTGTAGTCGGCTATGGTGGGCCCACACCTCCTGCCACCCTTTGGCCTTCGGGCTTGAGGAGGCACGGCCGCTCTGTTGGTGTTCAGGGGCGGCCGTGAATTTAGTAGGGGCGGGGAGCCCGCGACGCGCGCGGGTAGGCTCCTGCCTGAGGGCGGTCCGACCGGGTTATCGGTCGGGGCGTCCCAGGCATTGGTGTGGCAACCGAGTTGCCGGTCGGGCGAGGTGCGGCGGTAATGACTCTGGCGAGACCCGCACCTCGCCGCCCACCGACCGCGGAGGAACACCCGTGGGGTTTTAGTGGGTAGTCGTTCCGGGTTTCTGCGGAACGGAGTCCCACATATCCCGGGGGATTGCCGGTTCTGTCCGGCAAACCCCCGGGAATGCATAAATGCATTTCCCCACGTAAAAAAAAAAAAAAAGGTTCTTCTGGAGGCTCCTCCGTGGTGTGCCACCTTGTCGTGGTGGAGGAGCTCCCCTCTTCCCACTGGGTTGAGGGGTCTAAGAGCACACCATTGCACTTCCTCGTGGTGTTTCGTTGGCGGTGGCGGAGGATGAAAACGAAAACGAAAGCGGCCTTCGGGCCGTGAGTAGCGAGTAGAGAGTAATTCAAAGTTGCCGCGAGGGCGGACACCATGAGAAGGGGGGTTGCGCTCCCTCCGGGCACCTTGGCCTGATGCGCATAGGAGTAGGCGGCCCTGACTTCAATCGCCCGGTCGACCACGACTGTTAGGGATGACCCTGCTTCGGCGAGGCCTACCATCGCGGTGGTTCGGTGGGTGCTCCCACTCTGAGGGGGTGAGTGGCCTAGTAAGCCACAAGGGGGGATGGGGTGAAGGGGGACCTTGAGTCTGGGGATGACGTCCTTTTCAGGGCGTGCATCCTGGCTTGGGGTCCCCTGGATCCTTAGTGGGGGGGATGTGGTGGCCGGGAGTTCGTTCCCGCGTTCGGGAGGGCACCCTTGTGGTGTCGGCTCGGGCGCGGTGCGGCTCTTGGCGTCCCACAGTGGACAGGGGGGGCCGGCCGGGCTTGCCTGGTCGGATGGGCTTCCTGTCCGGGGGGGACGTGGGTGCCGGTCGTTCCTGTGTACGGGTGGCGTCCATAGTTGGGCGTCCCCCTGCATGGGGGGGAAGCGGCGTCCCACAGTGATGGTCCTCACCGCCTGGTAAACGGCCTGGGGGGCGGCCCCAGGATACGCACCAGGTAAGGGGGGACGACGGGACGGTAGTTTTTACGTCCGGAGATATCCGGACAACTGGGTTTGCCCGGGCTACCGACCTGGGTCGTATCCGGGCCACTCGGACTTATTCCGAGCTCGGGTCGGTGCGACGGAGGAAACTCGATGTCTGATAGGGGAGGAGGAGTTACCTTCTCTCTGATGCAGACATCGGGCCTGCCGCCGGGGTTGCTGGAACGTTTTTCAGGTCGGGGTCCGGCGGTGAGCGAAGGTTAGTCGACGTGGTGTAGCGAAGGCTCCACTTTAAAGCTCCCCCGTCGAGAAGGCGTAGCCCCCCAGATCCGATACTTTCGGTGTGGGGGCGGCTGGTCGCCACGGGTAAGGTGAGGCCGGGGAGCAGCGACCTCACCCCAACCGTCCGTGGGGCCCCCCGGGTGGCGCCGCCTGCTACGGTACCCACATGGTCGGAGGCGTGGGGCCCCTGAAGACCCATGGGGACGTCAAAACCCTCATGGGCTAGTAAGGGGCTGGAGTCCAGTGCCGGCGCTGCCTTTGGCCGCCGGCCCGCGACATATCCTATCCCCCTGGGGGAACTCAGGGCCCCCGTCGGGAGTGTAGCCGGTCATGTTTCGGGGCACTTCCGGCGGGGTGAGGGTATACCCGGGTAGGGGAGCCGTAGCGGGACAGTGGGATTAAACAAAAATGGATAAGACAATGAAAAAACAAACACAAAAGGATGGGACCTTTTAAAGGACAAGGATTTGGATGAGAGGATGGTAGGGTTGGAGGGAATACACGACCTCAAGGAGGAGGACGTGTTCGGGGTTGCGAAAGGCGGAATGCGGAGGGATTCGCTGATCCGTCGCACCCCGCCAGACACCCCTTATTGGACCCCGACTGCGCGGTCGCGCAGCGGTTCGGAGAGTGGGGGTCTGGAGGTGAAGGGCCTCAACTTGAAAGATGTGAGGATTCACCTCAGCCGCATGGGGAGCGACACGCTCTCCATAGGTCCCACGCCAGCGTTCACGCCTGCGTTGGAGGAAGCCCCCGCTGAGGATTGGAAGCCTTGCTTCGGAGGGAGATGGGCCGGGAGAGTCAACAATTCCCACGGGCCCAGGGTCGGAGACTGCTTCCGCTATTCCGACGATGAAAGAGGCGGGGTCCTCTGCGGACTCCGTATTCGCCCTCTCGGAGGAAGAGTTTGGAGATGGAGAATCGGTGGTCAGCGCTACAGGTAGCACTGCCCCACCGAGGAAGAGGAAGAGGGGACGTCCGCCCACTACCGGACAATACGCCCTCCTCCTCAAAAGGAGGGAGGAGGAGGAGGCCCTAAAGAGGGCTGAGAAAGAGAGGCGGGAGGAGGCCCAATTACTAGATGAGGCCCTCCCGCTTAAGATAAATAAGAATGTCCCGGTCTTAGAGGACATAATGGAAGAAATGAGGAACCTTCCAACCCCGGACATCACTGTGGAGACCATCCGACACATAGAGGGAGTGGCGAGGGTTGCCCAGGTTTCTTCGAAACTGAAAGGCACGGGCATAAAGCTCCTTAATACGGCTGCCGTCAATGCCAAGGCGGCCATTATAACGTTGGCACTGCGGATGCAGCAGTTGGAGGCTGACGCGTCTTCCTCAGGGGAATTGGATACCCTGAGGAAGCAGGTAAGATGCCTGAAAGCCGACAACGCCCGACTGAACGCGGAAGTCGAGAGCTCTAGAAGGGCGTTGTCGGAAAATGGGGCTCGAGATGGAAGCTCTCAGATCCTCCGTGGAAGAAATAAAGAGAGGGACTGGGAGGGAAAGGACATCACCTCCTCCCCGTACGAGAAGAGGAGGAATTAGCTCCCCGAAGGAACAGTGGCCTCCCTTGGGGGAGCAGGAGAGGGACGGGAGTCAGTCGGCTCCCGTTCTTACAACGGGAGCCCCCTCACGGGCTGATCAAGAAGTCGGGGCACTTCTCCTGCAGCAGATGGAGGAGAGGCTGGGGGCGATTATCGAGGAGAAAATCAAATCCCTCGAGACAATTATGTCGCTGCCCGGAGATGAGGTGGCCCACTATCCCTCCCCTAGAAGGACGGTAGTAGTGGAGGAGAACGAGGGTGGAGGTGGAGAAGCCGCGAATGGAGCCGCGGAACCTCCCCCCGCTCGTCCCCCCTCTCTTCCCCTGTACCCTTGAAGGGCAAGAAGGGACGAAAGAGGGGGGAGAGCGTGACGGAGGGAGATCCCCACAGAAAACACTGGGCAAGGAGAAGGGGAGAAAGAAAAAGGTGGGTAGGGGTACGGGTGGCAGGGGGCCTGGATCTTCCCTTGGGAAGAAGAAGGCCGCCCCCCCCACCTACTCCTACAGGAAGGGAAGGGATTTCCGCTTACCCTCCTCCCCCTCAACGGCCCCCACCATTGGCTACGAACGAATCGTGGGCCGTGGTGGCTGGCCGGAAGGGGAAAAGAAAGAGGGTGGGGAACCCCAGAAAGGAGGGGATAGAGGGAAGGCCTGCGGGGAGGAGTGGAGCCCCCCACCCCGCTAGGCAGGAGCAGAGGCAGACAGTTGGGAAAAGGAAGCTTATCACTACTGCGGCGGTCACCATAGCCGCTAAAGGGGGCGGCTATGGCGACATTATTAAGACCGCCCGCAGGGAAATAGGAGAGGATGCCCTAAAGGAGATGGGTATCGAGGAACTGCGCACCCGGAAATCCATGACGGGTGCGTATGTCATCGAGATCCCTGGTAAAGACAGGGTGGAGAGGGAGGCTAAGGCGGAGGCCCTGGCAAGCAGACTGGAGGCCGTCTTCAGGGGGAGGGACGAAATTAAGGTCTCGCGTCCCCTGAAGATGGCCCAAATCAGGATACGGGACCTGGACGAATCCGTTGTTACCGAGGATATCGTCCAGGCCATAACTAAGGTGGGTGGACCTGCCCCAAATATTAGGGTAGATAGGATGGCGGCGGCACCAAACGGCATGAGTACCGTACTGGTGCAGTGCCCACTTGCCATCGCCAAGAAGGTGGCACAGAGTGCGAGAATAAGGGTCGGGTGGGCGGCCTGCCGAGTAAATTTGCTCGACGACCGCCCACACCAGTGCTACAGATGTTTGGAGCTCGGCCATGTGCAACAGAGATGTCGAAGCACGGTGGACCGCAGCTCCAATTGTTATAGATATGGCGAGATTGGCCACATTGCCTCTGGTTGCCGGGCGAACCCGCAATGCGTGGTTTGCATGCAGGCGGGTCGTCCGGCTAATCACAGAGTGGTGCCCAATGCAGGGCACAGGCACTCCCCAGGAAAGGTGGGAGAGGCAATGTGCCTCCCCTTAGGATCCCCAGCACGTCGGGGAAGGAGCCGAATGGGGCTGGCGTAAACCCAGCGTTGGGACCAATGGGGGATCGTTTCTCCCCCACCCGCGAGGCCCCCGCTGTTGAGGAGCGGTGTGCCGAGGGTGGGGATCCCCTCCGAAGGAAGGAGGTAAGGAGGGGGGGGTCAGGTAAGGAGGACGGTCCCGGAAAGTGGGAGGGCGGATCCCAGGTTAAATGGGCCGGCCCTCTAATAGATTTATAGGCGGTGTGCCTATTCTTCAGGCCAATCTTAACCACGCCCGCCAAGCGCAAGATTTGTTCTTGCACACGCTGGCGGAGCGTTGTTGCGGCCTGGGAATAGTAGCGGAGCCATACTGCCCCCCTGCGGGGGGAGCCAATTGGCTCACGGACGCCCCCCCTGCGGGGAGCAGCCTGGTGGCTGTTGTTTGGAGGGGAATGGAGGGGTCCCCCCCGTGTGGCATGGTCAAACGGGGAGCCGGGTACGTCGCTGTCAGATGGGGGAACACCCTGGTTGTCGCGGTGTATTCCCCCCCGTCTTGGGACGTCACCCGGTTCGAGAGACAGTTGGCGGAAATCAGGGAGGTAGTTGGGGCCCGTCTCCCCGGTGCCGTTATAGTCGCGGGTGACCTCAACGCCAAATCGGCCTCTTGGGGTTGCCCGCGAACTGATAGGAGGGGGGGACTCCTCGAAGAATGGATGGCCGTGCTGGGCCTATCCACATTTAATGTGGGGGCCACGAGTACGTGCGTGCGGCCGCAGGGAGAATCGATCATCGACGTGACGATGGTCTCCCTCGCGGCCGCGCATAGGGTCTCCTCTTGGAGGGTAGCAGCGGAGCTCGAGACACTATCGGATCATCGATACATCGAGCTCCGATATACTGCCGCCCCCCAGACAGTCTATGGGTTGAGGGCTAGGGAACAGCGACGATGGTCCCTAGCCAAATTGGATGAAGGCCTCCTGATGGAATCGTTGTACGCCCAGACCTGGCCCGGAGTGAGTGGGCAGGGCGATATCGATGAGGTGTGGGAAAGGGTCCGCGGCATCGTCTGATGTGTTTGTGATACTGCGATGCCGCGGGCCAAGCCCTGCCCAAAAAGGTCTGCGTACTGGTGGTCAGCGGAAATTGCGGAGTTACGCCGCATCGCGATTACCGCCAGACGCAGGCTATACCGAGCTAGGAGAAGGCGTCCTCCGAGCGTGGAGGCAGTGGAGGTCGCCGAGGAGGAGTACCGTTTGGCCCGGTGCTCCCTCAGGGACTCCATCAGGAGGGCCAAGAATAAGGCGTGGGAGGAGCTCATTGCCTCCCTGGACGAGGACCTTTGGGGTCGCCCGTATAAATTGGTCCTCAGGAAGTTACGGGCGGGAGCTCCTCCCACGACGGAGACGATCTCCCCCCAGTTTTTGGGGGAGATCGTGGGAAAATTGTTCCCCACGTGCGGGCGGCAGCCGGATCCCTTCCCCCTGCTTCAACAACAGGGGGAAGACAGTGGTTGCAGGGAGGTGACGGAGGGGGAGCTCGGCAGAGCCATCAAGAAGATGGCCCCCCGTAAGGTCCCCGGTCCGGACGGCATCGCAGGCAAGATTTGGGCCCTTGCCCGCGATGTACTAGGGGAGCCGCTCAGGCACCTTTATAGCAGGTGCCTGAGGGAAAGCGTTTTTCCCGGAGCATGGAAGGAGGCCCGATTGGTTCTCCTCCCCAAAGTGGGGAAAGAGGCGGGGGATCCCTCCGCCTATAGGCCCCTGTGTTTGCTGGACGAGGCGGGTAAGATCTTTGAGCGGGTTATCGCCGACCGCCTCGTTCAGCATCTGTCGCGGAAGGAAACTGGCTTAGACGATGGTCAGTTCGGGTTCCGGGAGGGTCGCTCTACAATAGACGCTATTGGGCGCCTGAGGGCCCTCTCGGACCAAATTATCGGCGACGGCGGGGTGGCGTTGGCGGTGTCTTTAGACATCGCCAACGCATTTAACACCCTACCGTGGGCAGAGGTGGGGAGGGGGCTGGATCAACACCGGGTCCCTCCCTACATTAAGGCCATTATAAAGGAGTACTTCCGCGACAGGAAGTTGGCCTACAGGGACCAGGAGGGATCCCTCGTAAGCCGGGAAGTTCATTGCGGGGTTCCACAGGGCTCAGTGCTGGGCCCACTCCTGTGGAACCTCGCATACGACGGGGTATTGCGCATCGCGCTTCCCCCCGGCTGCCACGTCATCTGCTATGCAGATGACACGTTAGTGGTGGTTGGGGGGAGTGGGTGGGGAGAGGCGATGGCACTCGCCAATATAGCTGTGGCATGTGTTGTGCGCTCCATCAGAAGAATGGGCCTTGAGGTGGCCTCCCATAAAACAGAGGCCATCTTCTTTCACGATGGCACTCTGGGGAGCCCCCCTCGAGGCGCCAAAATCCAAGTGATAGGTGACGCCATCGAGGTGGGGACCCAGTTGAAATATCTGGGCCTCCACCTCGACAGCCGGTGGAATTTTGCCGAGCACTTTGCTCGCACGGTCCCCAAGGCGATTAAAACAGCGGCAGTCCTTTCGAGGCTGTTGTCTAACCTTGAGGGGCCGGGGAGAGGGTACGCCGCCTGTATGTAAATACGGTGGGCTCGGTCGTCCTCTATGGGGCGCCCATTTGGGCCGACGCAGCCATCGCGTCGCGGCGCATCAAGGTTTTGATGCGCCGCGCACAGCGCATTATTGCGCTGAGGGCGGCCCGGGCCTATCGTACGGCGGCGTACGCGGCGGTGACGGTCCTGGCGGAAGTTCCTCCCTTGGAGCTGCTGGGGCAGACCCACTCCGAGTTGTATTGCAGGGCCAAGGCCTTGCGTGAGGAGGGGGTCACAGTGGGGACCAGGGCCGTACTTAGGCGGCAGGCGCGGCACTCCCTCGTGATCCGGTGGCAGAGGTATCTGTCGGAGCCGGACGCGAGGGAGCAAAGAACCGTCCGTGCTATCCTCCCCCTTTTGCCCGAGTGGCTAGGGCGAGGCTGGGGTGGCGTCACTTATAGAATGGCGCAGGTACTTACCGGGCATGGCTGCAAGGTACTTACCTGTGCAGAATTAGGAAGGAGCGCACAACACAGTGCCATCATTGCGGAGGAGATCAGGACTCGGCGCAGCACACGCTGGAAGAGTGCTCAGCCTGGGCGGCTGAGCGCCGGGTCCTGATCCAAAATATAGGGAGGGATCTCTCCCTCGAAGCGGTCGTGGCCGCGATTCTTCAAAAAGAGGACAATTGGAGGGCGTTCTCCTCCTTCTGCGAATCAGTTATGTCGCAGAAGGAGGAGGCCGAGAGAGGTAGAAGGGGCGAGGGACAGCCCCTCCCACCAGGAGATGGTGGAGGGAATAGGAGAGGCCGTGGGGGGGGCGAGACATCGTGAGACACGTCCTCGTACCCCCCCTAATCGCGGCAGTAACGGCGGGATGCCCCCCGCGGAAGAGGGTAGGACCGGGCATATTGGAGGTGGGGCATTGGCCCCCCCACCTCTGCCCAGGTGCGACAAGTGGGACAGGAGCGGTGAGGGGTAGTTATCCCTCCTCCCATGGTTTATCGGTTCGGTTCTTGGGGGGAGACGGGGGAGGAAGTCACGCCCCCTCCCCTGCTTCAATCTCTCCCCACTATGGGCCGGATATAGGCCCAGGGGCCCCCTGAGGGGGTTTCAGGGTTCTCCCCTGGTTTGGCAAGCGGATGGAAGGGGGCGGAACGGTGTGGCCCCGTGATGCCCCCCCCCACAGGAGTAAAGGGCGCTAAGGCGCCTCGATGGAGGAGCCCATAAGGGCTAGTGCGCCGAGGAGATCGCGGAAGAATTCCTCTGGCGCCCCCGCGATCCCCTCTTATTGGCGCAGTTGGTGGCCACCGTAGGGTTATTAGTGGGTAAACGGTCAGATAGTACCGGAGCCCCACATAACCCCTCTCCAGTCCCCCAGGAGAGGGGTATGCGTAACGCATTTTCCCTACGTTAAAAAAAAAAAAAAAGATTCTCCTGGGGGGGGGCAGCCTCTCGCTATTCCTTGACGAGAGAGTCAAGTGAGAAAAGGAAGAGAAGACGGATCATCGACTCGGATGAGGAGATGGACTCCTCCCCGTCTCCAAACGAGAGATCCGGAGATCGAACCCACTTCTCTCCCCTCTAGGGGGGAGAAAAGAAAAGGGGTCATTGATCTGGGGGAAAAAGAGTTTCCCCCGTTGAGGAAGAAAGGCCCCATCAGGCAGATGGGACCACCGCTCAAGGGGCCTCGCCCATTGGAGGCGTTTCCCCCCGATCTGCCCGAGGAGGCAAGGGCAGAGTTTGACAATCTAATGGACCAGAAAGATGCCGTTTTGGCACTTCTGGAGCCCATTGCGGCACAGATGGAGGCGCTGAGGCTCTCCAAGATTAAGACTGTGCCGGTTAGAACCGCTCCAGTCCCGTCCCCTTCTCCTCCCGTCATCGGGAGGCTAAAGCCTCCAACCCTTTAGGGGAGAAGGGGCGGAACCAAGACAAGGCTGCCACCACTACCCCCTCCGGCAAGGCGGAGGAAACAAGCGGAGGCAGCAAGAAGAAGAAGAAGGGGAAGACGGGTGGAGGACAGGATCCACCCGCAGCCGATACATGGGTGACTCCGAGGGGAAAAGGAGGAGCTTCCTCCTCCAAATCCCAAGAGAGTTGGCGGGGCCCGGCTGGGGGGCAAACGAAGCCCTCCACTGCCGCAGGAAGGGAGAGACCTCAGCCCGTTAAAACGGAGAAAAGCCTCGCTCTTACACAGTCCACTCCTCCACCTCCCCCGTCAACGGGAGAAAAGGAGGAGTGGACAAAAGTGGTCGGGCGAAAAGCCCATAAGGCTGCCAAGGCGGGAGGCAACCATGCTGCTGTAGCACCATCCCCTCCGCCTAAGGCAACGGCGTCCGGAATTTCTTTCCCGTCCAGTGGGGGAAAGAAGAAAGGACGAAGGAGAGTCCCCCGAACGGCCGCAGTGGTCCTGTCATGTCCACCCGGCACGCTCAAGGAGACGTTGAGACTGGCAATGGACAAGATAGACCTTGCCAGTCTCAACATTGACGGCTTGAAAGCCAGAAAGGCCGGGTGCCCAACTATTTGAGGTTAGGGGCTCGGACAACAAGGCCAAGGCGGACGCCCTGGCCGCCAAGATGCGGGAGGTCCTCGCGGATAAGGAGGGGGTGAGGATTTCCCGCCCCTGTCCTACGGCGGAACTACGCATCCGCGACCTCACCGAGGACATCGAGGAGGAGGACGTGCTACGCGCCGTGGTCTCTGCCGGTGAATGTGATCTCACCCTGGTTAAGGTGGGACTTGTTAAAACCACCGGCAGAGGTCTCAGTACAGTGTGGGTGCGCTGTCCACTCGCCACAGCCAATAGGCTAGTTGCCGCAAAGAGGCTGCGGATAGGGTGGGTAAACACCCGAGTGGAAGCACTTGAGAAAAGGCCACTCCAGTGCTTCCGCTGCATGGAGAAAGGCCATGTGAAGGCCCAATGTAGCGGTGATAAAGACCGCAGCAAAGATTGTTACAGGTGCGGGAGCTCTGGACACATAGCCCGGGAGTGCACACTGCAAGTGCATTGCCCGGTGTATGCCGACATGGGCAGGCCGGCGGACCACCGAGCCGGCTCCCGCACCTGTAAAGCGCCAAAGAAAAAGAAAAAGAAAAAGGGGGAAACTGTTATACAGCCCCCCCAGAATAGAAAGGGCGCTGAGAAGGCGAGTGCCTCCAAGGAGGAAACGAAGAAGAAGCCTCCCGTCCCTCCTCAAAAAGAGGACAAGCGGGAGGAGGCACCTCCACTCCCCTCTACGTCAGGTGAGGGGATGATGGAGACGGAACCTTTGGAACAGAGGATTCCTAGGAGAAGGCAGGGCGAAATGCCCGAGGAAATCCCCCCACCGAGTGATGGTGAGGGGGAAAATCAGATGGAGGCAGAGCCGGAGGAACTTGACCGCCAAACTTAAACATGGCGGTCAAGGTTAAGTTCCTCCAGGCCAACCTTAACCACGCCAGTCAGGCGCAGAATCTATTCTTTCAAAGCCTGGCTGAGCGTGATATCGGGTTGGCCATTGTC